GGGGGGATCAGCAGGCATTGGGGGAGTCACTGTTCCCCCGAGCACTGCCAGGAGTGACCAGGAATAACGGTCACAAGCTGGCAGAGGGTAGGTTTAGGTTAGACATCAGGAGGCGCTACTTCACGGTCAGGGCAGCTAGGGTCTGGAACCAACTTCCAAGAGAGGTGGTGCAGGCTCCTACCTTGGGGATTTTTAAGAGGAGGCTAGATGTACACCTTGCTGGGGTCGTTTGTCCCCAGTACTCTTTCCTGCCATGGCAGGGGGTCAGACTAGATGATCTGCTCAGGTCTCTTCCGACCCTAGAAACTATGAAACTATGTTTTTAGTCATTCTGAAAGCATCCTAGTTTATATTAAAATGCAGACAGACAAAAGCCCATAAAGAAAGTAAATAGATTTTTGTAACCAAAACTTATTATGCTTTGCTCAGATTTGATATAGTTTGTTGTATATGGTAGCCCTGCACAATAGCACAATGATTTCAATCATTTGATTATATTTAACAGGGTCCCAAATATTTTTAAAATTCGAAGTTTATATTTATAGGAAATGCTGTCACATGAACAATGCATTTGAGACTTAAAATTTCGCTAACTCAAAATGGAAACTAAACAAACGCCAAATCTGGGTAGTATATATTTTTCCTTAATCTTTCCTTTTTCTTTTTTTTTTTCTTTTTAATTTGCAGAAAAACAAGACCCTTTTAAAGAGGTTGTAGAGTTACTGTTTTCCTGCTCTTTTCAACCTAACTCAGATTATCATGCTCTTTTGTAAGCTCAACTTCTTGAAGCTGTGTATAATGATCAAACAGGGAATTATTAATTCAGGTGGGCAATAACTGACTGGAAAAGGTATAAATATAATAAGCAGAAACAAGTGGTAATAGGTCTTGAAAGGTATTTTTGTAATGGTTTACATTTCTATGCAGTGATAGACTGCTGTGTATACTGAGTAATATTAATTCCTACCTCTCACGTTCCTCAAATGAAGATCTCCAATTGCTTTATGAAAACAGGTGTTCTTGTATCTGAAGATAGAAGAACTGAGGAACACTGGTATGAAATGCCCTAGTTACTAGTGAAAAGGTGGCATTTCTAAGGACAGAACACCAGGAGTTTTCCTTCCCTGTCTTTTAAGATTAGGAGCAACTGATTCATATTGTATATGGAGATGGAGCTCGGTTTGGACTGAGCAAACCCGTGCATCTGTATAAAGAATCTGTATATTTGGGGGCCTCTCTAGATGATTAAACTGTAGCTTATTTTTCAGAATTTGAATAATAATTAAAAACATCACCATTCTGTTGTGGACTAAAGTCTTATTTTTGAATGCAATTGTGCAGCTCTGTAGGATCCATATGCACAGAACTTTATGTGGAATTTGACTCATCAGCTGAAAAGTGATTCTTAGACGGCGTCTGGCTCTAGATTTGATTTAGAGCAGTGATTCTCAGGGTGCTGTGGCGTTCTGGGTTATCTTGAGATCCTTTCAAGGGTGCTATGGGATGCCATGCTATGTTAGCACGGTTACGTGTCCAGATGTGATTCACAAGATAAACTCCAGCGATTTCAAATAGGAATCCATAGAGTTAAAAACATTTTGACCTATCGTGGGCTGTCTGAGTTCTTTGCAACACAAGAATTGCTGTAGTATTTTTCGGTTGTCAAAAAAAGAGTGAAAAATAAGACCTGGTATTTTTGGATGGCTGCCTTAAGTCTAAAAAAGGCAGAGAACCGCTGATTTAGATCATCCATCCTACCATCCAACAAAACAAAAAGAAAATGAACACATATTTCTCATGAGTATGTATTGTTTTCTAACCTTAATCAGAGCAGGATTTGAGAGTTCTCTTCCTTCTTTTCTCTTCTTATTTGTAGGTTTATTTTACCTAACTCAGTGTGACAGCTTAAGGATATATAGTTTACCTTCCTCTGAAATATTATTGATGGGTTATTGCCAGAGGGAGGACTCTGGACTCCATGACCTGGTGTTTTGATCCTCAATGGGAACAGTGAAATGCCTGCATTAAAATACAACTGGTTATTACTTCATTTGATGTAAAACTTATTAATATTACATCAGATGGAAAAAAAGGCTTCCTTTTCAATGGAAAATGAAAGTAAAAAATTATATCTGTGTATTCTCCTACCTCTGCATATTTGAATCATCTTTAATTAGCGCTTGCAATGAAAATGTCTGTGATCAACTCTAAATGGTTTATATAGGTAATATTTCTCTGTTCCCAACTCATCCCAAATCTCCACCATTGTAAATGAATTTCAAGTGATCCTGTTTTATCATTTATTCTCATGGACTCATTGGGTCACACATCTTCTTCTTATTAAGGATAACACTCCTTTCAGTAACTGTCAATACTGACCATTAATTAGCTTGAGTGCTCCCTGAAGAGAAATGTGAGGCAAGCTCTCACCTTTCTTCAGCGCCAAGTCTCCTTCCCAATGCAATGACAGCAAGAATTCAGGCCTTCAGCCTTGTTCTCCCAAATGTCAGGCAGTCCTCTGGTTGGTATTTATATTTTTTGGCATAAACTCAGTGTCTGGTTCTGTGTACTGAGATATACTTGTAGTCATGCCATCTAGTAGAATTAGCCTTTTTTTTGTTGGCATTGTGAATGTTCCAGATGAATGAAATTCGACTTTATTCTTATTTGTGATGTCTGAATGAAGCATTCATCTGGATTTCCCACCTTTTATTGATATGTGCATGTGCTTTACAGTGAGTTATTTGCTTTAGCTCCTCTTCTGGGTCCATTTTCTCTTGGGTGAAAAATCCCCAATTAATTTATATTTAACTTACTATGACAAAGATAAAAATGGATTTTCCCACCCATTAAAGTACTTCCTTCAGTCACTTGTCAGCATAGAGTATTCTTAATAAGTTTTTCAACCAGCCAATATCTTTCCCAGCCCACAGTTCTCAAATTGTTAAACCTTCTTAACATTTCACGTCTTCAAGATACATTTTTAATACAGCTAAGATTCTTATTCTCATTCATGATATCAAGTGGAGTGTGCCAGGGGTTGGTCCTGGGACTGGTTTTGTGCAGTATCTTCATCTGTGACCTAGACGATGTACCCTCAGCAAGTTTGCAGATGACACCAAGCTGGGAGTAGTAGTAGATACACTGGAGGGTAGTACTAGGATACAGAGCCCTACACAAATTGGAGGTTTAGGTCAAAAGAAATATTATGAGGTTCAATAAGGACAAGTGCAAAATCCTGCACTTAGGATGGAACAATTCTATGCTCCAGTACAGGCTGGGGACTGACTGGCTAAGCAGCAGCTCTGCAGAAAAGGGCTTGGGGGTTACAGTGGACATTAAGCTGTTGCAAAGAAGACTAACGGCATGCTGGGCTGCATTAGTAGGAGCACTACCAGCACATCAAG